GAGACAGAAATTACAGTTTGCTTTTAAAAGTAAACGGTGATGTGCAAGTGTTTGATGAGCTTTTTTTTCCTTTTCAATTTTAGTCAATCTTTGTTGTACACATTTTACACTGTACATCTCTAGTACTTCATTGATTTACTTGTAATAAAAGGCAAAGCATTCTTACTTGTTGGAAGTGCTGGAGTAGGAAAAGCAGTGTTTATCGGTAATGGGTTTGGCACTGTCACTGAAGACAACTCCAGACCAACAATTCATTGAAATACGATGCAACATCAGCCGTGCTCCAGAGTACATTCCATACAGATGTGAGAAACTTATCTTCCCTCAACAGCAGTGGTAAAATATATTTCAGTTATTACAGTGTTATCACAACTATTGGCTACTGCTCTTGTCAGGGCCTTGGCAAAGTTCATTGCTTTGCAAACTGGAAAACTTTGAAAGTTGTGGCAGGCAAGGGGAAAGGAGAAGGATGAAACTGCTTGGTGCAAACTGGAACTGACACTGTGCTCCCACAAGTTGCTGTCTGATTGCAGATGAGAAATTTGGCTTTACCTCAGTTCACAAGAAGCCTTGAGCCAGCTTTGGCCTAGCCTGGGTGTCTCAGCACAGTGCCTGTAGGTGTACCAAAATGGACAATCAGAAGTTGAGTGTACTTTGCCAGGTACTATAAAACATCCAAGGAGGGTCAATCCCTGTCTGGTGGAGTTCAGAGTCTGTAGATGAGATGGATGCAGATCAAATGAAATGTTAATATAACACACAAATGAGAGGGCTGTATGTTGGCCAAAACTGTTCTACTGGTGGTAGATTTTGGAACAAGAGGAGTCTGACAGTCAAAGCAAAATAGGATCATAAAAGCTGTCTGTTTTGGTCTTTGTGAAGAGCACGATCAAGGGAGAGCCCAGCTGTTAGTGGATATGCCCTCTTTGCCATCCCTTTTTTTTTTATCCTTCCTGTAACTTGAACAGGAAAAAACTATACAGAAAAAACTATGTGCCCTCTTTGCTGTACAACTTTTTATGCCATGAAAAGCACTAGTGAAGTAAGTTAATAAACTGGCTTGTCCTTTTAAATGTCTGGGAGAAGATACGAAAAAAGATTTTTCAGTTTTAAAACCTTTCTATGATTTTAGAAGGGTTCAGATAAAATCTTTAGAAGCATTTAAATGTGTTTGGTGTGTAATTTAACTGCTTTTGCAATCAGTTGCATAATTTTCCAGCCAATCTGCATTGCTGCTAATGGATTACATTTTCACCAGGTTTAAAAAAAGTGTGTATAAATCCACAAATCTTAATTGAATAAGCTTTTACCCTGTTTTCTCTTTCATGTCTTGTGTTAGTTTCTTCTGTATTCACTTCAGATAAGCAAAGACCATTTTGTCTTCTTTATACATTAGTTCATTCTTTGAAGTGTTTCCAAATTCATGTTAACATAGAATCCTGCATTAACAGAACTTAAACACCTTTTTGCCCATCAAAATGAATGGAAAGATTAGGAGAAAAGAAATTTGCTGTGCGTCAGAGTGAGATCATGAGTTGTTGTAAACTGTCATAGTTCCTTTAATGGGGAATCAGCCTTAAAAGGCTTTCAGAAATTGCTCTGATCAGGGAGGGATTTTTCAGCTAATGACTGCCATTCCAGCAGCAACCATGGCCATGGCTCTAGAGTGCAAAAGCATAACACTTTCCATTCCAAAGAGGAGTTGACAAAAGGAACTCCTGGGCATCAAAGGCTGAGTATTCTTCTTGCAGGAAACTTCTTAAATAAACCAAAGATGTGAAGTCAGCATCACAGGGGCTTGTTCTCCAAGTGTGTTACGCCCACCAACAGTCTCGTGGCATAAAATTTGAGATTTATGAAGGGTTTGCTGTGAAATTTTAGAGTATTCCTTCATATTTTAAGTCCGTGTTCTAAATCATCCACTGCTTCTTCTAAGAAAAATTAAGCCGTGTTCAAGGTGGTGAACTCATCTCATTGTCTGCAGCTCTTCCTTCTGTCCACTGCTCTTGAGCCAAGTTCCTCTTGTTAAATGCTCTTCTACCAAGTCCCTTGACTAAGCACAGCAGGTGAACTGCACGACAATCCAGAAACAAGTAAATTGTGTTCCCTTTCCATTGCATTTACAGCATTGTCTCAGTGAGCTCTGATGGAATGATTTTGTACTGTCACGTGTAGATCAAAATGACGGCCTCTTACATTATTTTTTTGTTTGTGTGTACCAATATTTCTTCCTGGTAAATGCATTCAAGTGATACACTGAAGTGCCTTCATGTGTCTTAAGCCATCACTCCAAGCAATTATTTGGAACAGTCAAATTGTGGATGGTTTCCATAATGGAAAGCAAATTGTACAAATGAGCACTATAAATTAAGTGTTAGTTCATAAAAAGGAGCTTAAGAGATGAACATGTTGAAGTACAGTGATTCACTACTGTTCATTCCTATGTTCTTTCCATAGTTCAGAGGTTAAAAGATTTTTCTTACAGATCATATCACTTTTAATCTGCAGCATTTTCTGTCAGTTCTCATCTTATCTGTAGCCACATAACATTTTTTGAGGTATCTGCTAGAGTGGGTGAGATTAGCATGTAGTGTAGGGTTTTATTTAGCATTCCCCAAGGCATATGACTCACCCGCTCTGCCTCTAGAACAGCAGCAAATTTGAAAATGTTGCTTGATGGAGGCATGTTCTGATGCAAACTAACATTGGTACATTAATTCTGGGGTCCTCAATAATACTCAAGTCTGAAACACTGCCACAGAGAACAAAAATGTGCAAGTGTTTATAAATGTGGACATTATTTAAAATTTAGATCAAGAGAGATGATTCCTAGTTTGAGGTTTAAAATTATGCGTACACATTGAGCTAAAAGAACAAAATTGTCTTTTATATATTTAAGATACTTAAAGCCTTTTATATGCACATCATTTCTGCAAGAAGTTTTTTCCCTTCTAGGGTAGGAAAGTAGGATAAGTGCAGCCACAGCTTTTGCTCTCAGAATTTATGATCATCCAATTGCAAATATGTTGAGGTTCTCCATTTCTGTCCTGTCTTCCAGCACACCTTCACTCTTTAACTTTTTGTTTTACTTCTCCAGTCAATAACCATACTTTTAGCTGACTGTGACTAGACAGAAATGGCCTTGGATGCTTTTATTGCCTTCATTGAGTTCACCAATCAAAAAAATTGTTGAGGTTTGCAGATGGTTCATTTCACTGAAAAATCTGTGACAATACTGCCATAGTCCTACTGGAAACTGCTTACAGTGATGTATTTGCTTATTCTGCTTTGCCCAAGGCACTAAGTCGTCTGCTGCCAGTCAGGAGAGTGGCAGTGCTGGGATGTCCAGCCTTCAGTTGTCCCTGTACAAGTCCAGTTTCCATTTCCTACAACCTCTCATGAACATGTTTCCTTTTTTAAATAAGCAAGACAATTTCAAAACCTTATACTTAACGTTTCACTCTTATTTTGCCCAACCCAAAGTATTTGAACACACTGTGCAATAGAAAAAAATTTAAATCTGTAGTTGACACTTTTTTCTCTTCTGCTTATTATACATGGAACTGATAATTATTTTTTTTTCATTTTTTAATACATATAGGCATTTCTTATTGACAAATATTAAAGTATTATTAAATTCTGGCTTTCGTCATCTCAAAACCAATATCAGTTGTATCCCAAATTCATTACATTATTGACTGGACAAAAAAAATCTGGGTTAGATGTACAAAACTTTTGAGAAATCTTTTTCCTCTTGCCAAACAGTATTGAGTTCTCATTTAATGCTCTGCTGTGCTGTAAGGATTTTAACCACTGTATTTCCTAAATGTTCCATAACCCTCTTTGGTTCAAATCTCAGCTCTGAGACAGAGAATTTAGGCTGCTTGTTGAAGATCAGAGCCTCAGTCACTGTGACAATACTGAAGTCTTCCTTGAAGTCCACCTATTACTGTGGTTTATTTTTTGCAGAATCCTTTCTGTGATGATTTGAACAACAAAAATATGTGACCTGGGAAGGAATATTGTTAGTTTTCCAGTCCTGCTTTGATAAATTCCTGGTGATTTCTGCAGTTTTTTTTTTCCATGCACAAAATTAAAAGAGTGCAATTAGAAATCAAACTAATGTGGATGATGAATCCTGTCATATGTATCTGTGGAATACTTCACAAAGTGGCAAAATTTGGGATCACATCATTCCAGAGTTCTGCATTCTAATAATGCTTAATAAAAGTTGTTTTTATTTTATATGCTTTCAACAGGCTTAGCAATTTTCTGTAGCTATTTTTTCCTCTTACACATCTAAGGGAAGCAGTGCAGTTGGCTAAAAATTGTATAAACTCAAATTTTATGTCTCAATATTTTGCAGTTTTGATGAATACACAAGGGTCTTTGAGTTAGTTTTTTCACAGCTGTAGTAAATTTGTAACCTGATGGTCTGCATTGACCATCGTGTAAGCACCTCATTTTCGGGAATAAGCTGAAATTTAGTACAATTACCTTAATATTCCTTTGTCTGGGAGATGTTATTGCATTCAATTCCTGAATAATGTCCTGATTAAATGATATCTATCCTTCATATTTTTACACTTTACGTATTTTGGTAAAGACCTTATTTAGTCTTTCCCAGGAGAAGGAGAAAATAATCAACTCACTGATTAATTTTGTGAGTGTCAGGATACATGGGGATTTCACATTCAAAGCATTTCAGTTTCAAAGGATGTAGATGGATATGCTGTGAAACTTTCAAAAGCTGTGAAGTAGTCAATCAACTAAATCAGCAAGACTTTTCTGGAATTCAGAATCACAGGGTGATATGTTCTCAAAGATTATCTGTGAGTTTCAATGATTGCTACGGACTTCAATACTTAAAAAAAAAACAATCTTGTACATGGTGAAATGTTCCATAAATTTCAGCCAGCATGATTTTGAATTCTTGATTTTGTTTAATTTCAGTTTTGTTTCATATGGTAATAATTTTTATGCCTTTGTTTATATTTCAGGGATGTTTGGAAAAAAACTGAAGAACATGGTCATACATATGTTCTAGTAAAAGAATGATAAACTTTTCTATTTTATTAGTGATTTGAATATGCCTGAAGTGGATAGATATGAAATTGTTAAGTCTCATGATTTGACAGCATATTGATTATGGACACTGGTGAGCATTTGCTTCTTAATGTTATGGTATAACTTTTGTGCTGTGGTCCATGATGGCAACCATAAACCACAGAGAAAACAGAAAGCTTCAAAATTAGTTGATTAAAGAGAAAAGCATATGTTTCTGAGAGGTTATAAACTGTTTTAGAAAAGAAAAGCAGAAAGTGAAGGGGCTTTGGAGTCTTGGAAGGAAAGTGTCCTTCAGCTGCTTTTGATGGAGTTGCTGGATATTGGCCCCACTGATTGACTACAGAGAGCAGGGATGGCTGAGATATGGAAACTGATTCCCTAAATAGCAGGTGTTTAGCCTCTAACCCTCTATGTTTTCTTCACCTGTAAGGACAACAATTTCTTCACTTGTAAAGACAGGTGAACAGTCTTTTTCTGCCATGAGAATAAAAGCATAGAAGATGAATACTGAAAGTAATTCAGTTGCTTTGGGAAATTCATCTGAATCAGAGAATCTCAGAACTGTTGGGTCTAGAAGGAACCTCTGGAGATCATCTAGTCCAAGACATCAAGGCAGTGCCACCTAGAGTAGGTGACAACCTTCTTACTTTCCAAATGATAATTTAATTTTTTTGGCAATTAAAATATATTGTATTCCTTCACCAGAACCCGTGTAAATATAAAGTTTCCAGTCCAAAATCAACTGATTAGTGTTTTAGTTCATTTTGTTACAGGAAGACCAGTATTTTGTGTAAATACTTCACTGTTATCATAAATACGTATCAGATTCTTGTTCAGATGTCATGTCTTCATGTCATCTTATATGACATGAAGAAAATACATGACTTACAAAGAAACCATTTTCAATGATCTGCAGTGTTCTTGCATCTTTTAATGCAGGTGAATTGTATAAATTTTTTCACTTGGTCATACTTCATCCCATGAAGGAGTGACACCAAGTATCAGCTTAATATCTTGTTAAGGAACAAGATGTAAAGAGGGAAAAAAAGGAAGTGACTACTCAAACCTGAAATATCTCTGGCTTGGAGAAATCAGTCAGTTCTAACTTGGTGACATGAAAAGATAACATCACAGTACTCTCCTGTTTTCTTCCCAAAACTATATTCTTTTTGAGACAAGTAGCCTTTTATTCTTTCACAAAGATTTCAGAGTTAGGATCTTAAAATCCCTAGCGCTTAAGAGGGTTTCTTTCTTTTGAATGGTTTTGAATTCTTTTAAACCAAAACCTAGTCAAAAATTTAATATATTTAAAAGAGATCTACAAAACAGCTCAAATCAGGAAAAATGCTGACCATGAAATTCAGGAATTTAATATAACTACTTAAGAATTCTAAAATGGAGTAAAACTCATTGCAAACATGTACAAAGAAAGAGAATGCATTATTTTATGAAGTTCTGAGAAGGAAGGATTTGTTGAATTGAGCAGGGAATAACTACATAATTCATGAATTTTCCTTTTTCAGAATTTCTTTTAAAGACCTGCTTGTCATAGTGGATGTGTGCACTAACATCTAAAGAAATAAGATTTTCTTCCCATTTGGACAAAAAGAATACAAATTTTTAGCAACTCAGAGCCCTGTTAGAATTTATTTTATTTTATTTTTTTTTTTTAATTTTATTTTTTTTATTTTATATTTTATTTTATTTTATTTTATTTTATTTTATTTTAATCTCTATCCACTTTTTAGGTGGCCTTCTTTTAATTCACCAGGAGCTGTGTCATCTGAAGAACCAGAACAAGTATTGGATAACGCAGCAAAGAGAGAAGCATGACCCCTCATACTCCATGTTGATCTTTGCTGGTTTTTTTCTTATTGAGATCAGCTAATTTTGCTCTAATCTGTGATGAATGATGATTGTGTGCATTCTGAAACTGATTTGTACTTCTTTTGACCATGCTTTACTTTCCGAGTGTGTTTGCAGCCAGTTTTATTACAAAGAAACCCTTTATCATCAGAAGCTTTGTAAAAATGTGGTACCTTAATTGCAACAGAAATTTTGAACAAAATTATTATGTGCTAGAAAATGCGTGATTATTCTTAATTTTAAAATGTCAATCCCAATTCGATACTTCCATGGATATTTGTATTCCAGATTTCCTGTAGAATAGAACTGTTGAATCTTCAACTGAGGTTAAGCCTCAGAAATGTACAGTGCTTCAGTTTTGTCACTAATATTAATCAAGTTACATTTTCTTTCTCAGTTACAATAGGCAGAAGCTAACTATTAAAGAAATTCATAATTTTCACTATGTTTCCTTTATGCTGGCAGTAAGCTGGCAGCTTCATTATCAAACCTAAGCTCCAGCTAGGGTTTGAAGTGTCCTGTTATAGTGATCCTGTATTTAATATATTAAATAATTACTATTTAGCTTTCCACTACAATAGCTAGCAGATGAAAGGGAATAGGAGAAAATATAGTGTTTGATATTTAGTGCAGGTTGAAAATCTTGCTGTTCTTATAGCTAAATGGGAAGAGACACACTAAATTTATTATGACATTGAGAATTCCCTGAATTGAAGACTCATGTGGTCATCCACCTGTCAGCTGTGCCCTTGGGGCTCATAACCAGACATGCAACTGCTGTGGAACTGCATCAAGGATGAGGCTAGAAATGAAGTATTTTCTGTGACACACAAGTAGCTGTATGGTCACCAGGCTGTCTAGTCATTTAACACTTGGTTGACTTTTATCTGCTGTCTGATGCTAGAGAATCTTCATCTCCTTTTCCCTTCTTATTTTCAGGGACATTCTGCAGTATTTGCCTCCAAGTTCCTTTCTTCAGTTCCCTGATTACCATCTACAGAAAGATAGTTTGTTTCCAGTTCCAGCAACAAGCTTTTTTTCCACCAATAATCAAAAATATTTGAGCCATAGTACAAGCAGAAATATATCTTTACCAGGCAAGGATTCAAAACTTTGCAGCAACTGATATGAGGTTCCACTGCATCCATAATATGAGAGACCTCTCCAATGGCTTTCAGGTCTGTATCATGGGCGCACATACCTGACAACACTCTGTTATTGCTGATCTTTACAATCTAACGATGGACATTGGATGGTAGAGTGGTGCAGAACAGGAGTTTTTTTGTACAAAGTAGAAGATAGTCCCTGCCCTAAAGTGACCATGGTCAGGTAGATCAGATGGGTAGAAACCTGAGACAGAAAATATATTTAGTGGAGATAGATCAATGGTTTGCAAAGTTTGCTGTGCTTAATTTTTTGGTTGGTTTCAGAGGTTGAAGGAGCTCTGAAACAATAATAATAAAATCACAAAGTCATTTAGGTTGCAAAAGACCTCTAAGATGAATGACACCAGCTATTAGTCTAGCACTGCCATGTCCACCCTTAAACCACGTAACTAAGTGCCACGTCCACACATCTTTTAAATACCTCCAGGGATGTTGACTCAACCACATCCCTGGGTATCCTGCTACAGGGCTGGACAACCCTTTCCATGGAGTAGTTTTCAAAGGGTAGCTGAACACCAGAGCCAAGATTCAAGACAGAGGGAAGGATTTAACAGGGTCAGCAAATCCTTCCCTCACTTGTAAAAACATGTGAGTCTGATCCTGGTTTGTTTTTATCTGTTTTCCTGTTCCTTAGAGTGCAGATCTGTTCTTTCACAAAATATTTTTTTGTCTGCTTACCCCATAGACCACTGTGAAGGGAAGGAGGCAAGGACTTGTCAGGTCCTCTTGTACACCACACAACTTGTTTTGGTGGGATTGTACAGACCCATCATGCATGTTTGCATCTCTCCTGGCATGGAAGTTGTGAAAGAAGGAGGTTTGAGGAAATTTTGTCGTGATGACCTCTGTCCTGTTTTCTTGAGCAATATTGAAAACAGGGCTAGTGACCACAGAAGGTCCTGGCAGTGCTGATGTTTCTGTGTGTCCTGTACTGCCCTGGAGCCTCAAGCCATAATGGCCCACCTAAATGTGCCAGTGAGTGGAGAGCAGACATTTGTTTTAACTATATTTTGCATATTCAACTGGCTGGAGAACTTGCTAATTCTAGAGACATCCTGGTTCATGTTCAAGAATATATAGATTCAAGCACAATGTCTGCTGGATATCTACTAAGGATAACTAATGTCTTTGCAGAATATATCAGTTAGTCCTCCTTAAGATGTCCTATTTTGATGCCAGATGACATCATTACAATTTTTTTTTTCTTTAGGGCATTTTGTTTGCTACACCCAAGTGCTTACAGCAACCAAATTATATTTATTATCTTTGGTCATGAGTCAGCACATGCCTACGGGGATAAACTAGTGGAAAGCAGACTCTAATGTCTGTTATAAAATGATGATGGACACTACAGACAAGTATTTTGAGGTATGTTGGTAGCTGGAAAGTGTTCTACCTTGTGCCAGCAAGTTAAAAACTGAGTGGTGACAGGTCTTATTTATTGGAACTCTTATGTAGCAGTGGGGAGCTACTTGAGGAGTTTCTAGGGAGCTACAATGGCAGGCCTTCTGTGATCCCAGCCTTGTCTGAGGGTGCCTTGCAGTGGGTGTAACTGGAATATCTCTGAAGGGAACACGTAATCCACCATGATGCTTTGCTTGCATTAAGTCATTGCTTTTTGCTGTTCAGGGCTTGTTGCAGTGCAAACTTGTAACACTCTTAATGAAAGGTTTATGCAGGGCACCATGGACCACCAGAGCTGATAAATGGATTTCATTGGTGCCCTTATGGAAGAGCAGATTGTGGCTCAGTGTTAAAAGTAACCTCCACTTTGTTTCTTTGAACAGAGATTCACCAGGGTTTTTTTCTACTCCACAGGAATTAACACCACTTATTTTCTGAGGCTGGAGAGATAATCTATAATGCTGTAGATATTTTGCCTTATCTTTTTATTAGTTAATGATGTAGCAGGCCTTTATAAGAAAAACAATATTTGTCTTTCATTCCCAAGAAAGGAAAGTGCTTTTAAAATTAGTTTAGTTTGAAGCAAAGACAATACCTTAAGCATACAGTAAATAATGTCACTGCAGGGCAGACCTAGAATTGCTTTGCTGCCCAGCCTTGTACATTTTAAATCTAAACAAGCCAACACTTCTAAGCATCATCATAGATTTATTTTATTTACCCATACCTTTTTTTTTCATATGTATGCTTACCTTACCTCAGTTTAATGTAATTTGTTTTTTTTGTGTAAGGCAATCATGGTTCCAAATCTCAGCTTCTGTTTCTAAAACCTGATTTACTACATTTGCTATTCTTTCCTGCCCAGAAGAAAACCAGCCAGTTTTTTGAAGATGAAGATTTTGCTGACTAAGGGAGGCACAGACTTCATTGTTGTTCCTTGTCATTATTTGTAATCTTTCTTCAACAGGTGCCATCACTCTGGTCATGTGTAATATCAGTGATTTCCAGAAAGAGACAGAGGCCCCTGCTGGCAGAGATTAGCTTTGTTGAAGCAGTTTGTATTATTTGCAGTGTCAAATGGTTTAACACACAAACTTCTATTCTCATCGAGTTCTACTAGGATTTCAGTGTCAATGGTTTTCACTTTGCACATAATCAGACAAGTGCTATATAAGCGAAGGCACCCTTGACAAAGCAATCTATTGTAGGAGTTTCACTCCAAGAGGATTAAAGATATGCTTAAATTTCAAAGATAATCATGGGCACCTTTCATAGGGACCATAGATTTTTTTCTTTTTTTAGGCTGATTTAAAGGTTGATGTGATAATCATCAGACCTGCAGACAGATGCCTTCTCAGGTATCACTAGTTTTGCTTGAAAATGTTGGTAAGCTATTATTTTCTCTCCAAAGTCTAGTGACTGAGTGGTATCTCAGTTTGGCAAACAAAGTGGCAGGGTGTCTTAGGCTTACAGTTTGGCAGTCCTGGAAAAGTGGTTGTGAAATTAAATCCTGTAAGTTTTTTCTGCATCTCTTATGTTGTTTTTTGTTTTTTTTTTTATGGATCCATTGTGAAATCATGAATAAGGCTGACAAAGTTCTACAGTGAAGTCAAAGAGTATTAGCTTCCGGTAATGTTTTGGTTGTACAGGTTTTTAGCTCTTTATTAGATGCAGCCAGATTAGACACATTATACCTTTATTTAAGAAGGTTCTCATAATTTTTTTTTCAAGGCTCTTTTCAATAATTTTTTCAGTGGTATGAGACATAAAGAGAATGAAGGGACATCTCATTAATACATGTAGGAAAAATTAAGCAAAAGGTCCAACCTGTTGTCTCCAATCTCTGTTCTTTCAGCCCTTAGAATCTGCATCTAATTTTAAAAAAATGAAATTTTGAAAATAATTTTAAATGCTTATATAAATTATTAGAATATAAACTACAAGTGATTTCTTTCAATGGCTGAAACATAGTTTTCTGTGGGAGGAATTACCTCAATACACACATTTCAAAATTTTAGCAATTAGCTGTCATCTAATTTTGGGGCAAGTCCTCATCTGTCCTCATTCCTCCTATGGTGCTCTATGATCAGCAAATAACAGCATGCTTTAATTAGTCTGGGACAGATATTCCAAGAGTTAGTTAAAGTTTTATGCAGATTTGTCATTCAGTGATTCATTGTCCTTTGGCCTTTCTGATGCAAACTGCCAGATACGAAATTCTCATGTGCTCCTACGGCCCAGTGAACCTCCCTTCAAGTTCACTGGGTCTCTGTTCTGAGTTCACTCAGAGCCCATCAGATTCCTGGTGAGATGCTTTGGAGCAACTCAGTGTAAAGAATGTGTAACCAGACAACTTTTGCAGACCTTCAATATTTGATAAAGGAAAAGAACGTTTCTTTCCACTTGCTGGAATATTGCAAGCAATAGCAAATGCTGAGGTGAAGATAATGTACCTTTAGGTGTCAGGAGAACATTATCTCAAAAACAGACAAAAAAGAAAAAAGAAAAGAGGGGAGGGGTAGAAGGTTTGGTGCAATTAAAAGGAATTGAGGAACTTCACTGAGAAGGTTGTTGAAATTACGTTACTGTTACTTTATTGATGTTTTGTCATCAGGTGCTGAATCAGTCCTTTCCTATAAGCTTCTAGGGGTTATGAACTTCTGATTGGAGTAGGTAGTAAAGAGCTTGTCTGGGCTGGCAGGATACATCTGCTCCCTGGAGGTTTTCCAAATTACACAGAAGAAACCAGGGCCTCAGGGTAAACTAATAGATATTATTTTAGTCTGTTGAGTTCACAGCTTCAAGAATGTGTTTTGTTGTTGCACAAGCTTGATAAAATCACAGGTAAAACAGTGGAATTTACACTAAAAACTCCTATGGTTCCTGTGGTTTCTGGCTGTACCTCTTTTCTTTATTTTTTAAAACTGGGTGGTAAAAATATATTTTAATGTCTGTCCCCTTATATACTTCACAGAATTTTAGTCGTTTCTCCACTTTTTCCAAGGCAGCTGTTTCACATGTTACAGGGATGTGGTTGGAGTTCTGGTGCTTATAGTTAGTGATTTAGTATAAATTTTTGTGTGTCATTGAACGTGTGTGACATGTGTCATTGGAAAAAATTTTGTTCTTGTTGTATGTGAGTCCTTTAGTCGCCTAAACTGTCCATATACAAAGATTAGGAATGTAATTGAGTGAAATGCTCTTTTCAGGTGTACAGACCTTGCAAGACTGAGCCCTGTGTGAGTAAACAGCAAAGGAGGGAACATTTACAGTTTCACTCTGTGTGGACAACCAATATTTCTGAATCTCAAATGTGGCTGAATAAGGATCTGATTGTGGCCAAATTTGGTGGATGCCAGTCCCCAAAAAGCCCTTCTGTTACCTTGGTCCAGAGCCAAGCTACCATGGCGTGTGTAGCTCAAGACTTTCTCAGTCTCTGGTTTTCAGGGGAAGGTAGATGCTGTTCTGCTTTGAAAATGGCAGTGTGCTCTTTAGTGTGTTCATGGTGTCTAACTTCTTGTGCCCTCCTTCCCTGGTCAAATGCGGTGCAGTGTAAGATGTGGACTTAAGTTGTCATTTCCTCCCAGCTGTTTTCCAAGCAGGAAATTTTCTAAGCCTCTGTTAACAAGCCTGAAGATTTGCTTTGTTAGGTTTTGTGACAGCTTGGTCATAACAGCCAGCATTGACCTTATTCTGTATTTCAAATTTGGTCACACTCAAATGCAACTGATGTGAGTTGCTTTCTTTCTGGAAACCCAAGCCAAAAAACATTCCATGTTTATACCACATGGTCCCACACAATGTCTCCCTCAGGGAAACTGCACACCTCACTTTTGTTGGGGTTTTTTGCAGATAAGAAAGCTTTTCTAAATAAATTCACTAGCAAAAAAAAAAAGGTCTTTCAAAAAAACTAGAATTTAAAATGGATCTGATTCTTCAATCTGATTCTTCCCACACATTTTTTGGTATGGCAATGGCTGTTCTTGATGGGAGCTTTCATGGCTGCAATATCCCTTTTTAGTACATTCATGGGGAGATTTCTTCAATCTTTACCACTAGATGATGTCAAAACTTCAGTGTCTCATAGAAGGGAAAAAATGGCAAACTGCATTTCACTTTGGATGTTATACAGCAAATTAATGATATGTAAATAAACTGAAAAAAAGTACGGAGAAGTCAGCAATGTGTTGCCACCACAAAAACAGCAATGTGTTGCCACACTTTTTCTGTATCAACATTTTAACAGAATATGAGTGATTGCCTCCTTTCCTTACAGGTAGATCTTGCCAGTTTCTACATCAAGACGGGTGCCAAGAACATGCCCACAGTGTTTTTGCTGACAGATGCCCAAGTTCCAGATGAATGCTTTCTTGTGCTGATTAATGACTTGTTGGCATCAGGTGATTAAACCAACAAATTTCTTGAAAGATCTTTTCCAATGACAAATGATCTGTGTTTTCATTGAACTTTAAAGTGATTATTTCTCTTTTGGGTATTTGTAGGAAGAGATTTTAGAGAGGCCGTGTCAAGCCATTCAACCTGAGCATTGAGTCAAACTTGGTTAAGAAAGCATGGTCTGTTTAGGAGACAAATTGCTAAGGCTTATAATGCAAAAGTGCATTGATTTGGGGGAAATAAGAATGTCCCTCTGAATAAATGTTCTTTTTGCTTTGGTGTGATTTCACTAATTTCAAGCAATGTCACCATGACTGCACAAGTGTAGCATGTAGCAATGAAGATTCGCCCATGTTTTGAAGATTAGAAAATCTGAACTCTGAATGTGGGGGTGGATAAGATAAGAAGGAGGATAAGATGGAAGAAAAAAATGCACCTCTGGACAGTTGGAGTACATCTTGAATGGTTTTTTGTAAAGTTATATTTACTTTTGCAACCAGACTAGTAAAAAGTTTGAACAGCCTGTGAAAAAAAGAGCTACCATTCTGAGGAGAACATAATTTAGAAGTGAACATCCTATCAGGGAAAATTCAAAATAAAGTTTTTTCCTACCCATAAAAAATAAAAAAGAAAAAAAGAATAATCCTTCTAAGCTAAAAGACATAGGGAGAAGGATGAGACTGTTTTGTTACTAGATATATGTAGCATCATACTGTAGCTCTGGTTATGTGCTTAAACCTCATTGGCCTAAATACCATGTAGAAGATTATTTGTCAAGTGCTACCTCCCCCTTTGTCTTTTCACAGGAGAGGTTCCAGATCTGTTCAGTGATGAAGACATGAAGGTCATAACTTCAGGGTTTAGAAAAGAAGTCTGAGCCCTGGGCTTGATGGACATCAGTGAACGCTCCTGGAGGTGATTCCTGAGGCTGTGGCTGCAGTAGAATGTAAGGCATATTTCAGGGGCAAGAAACAGTGATGAGCTGATCAAAATAGCAACATATTTCAGTTATCTCATAACCCAGCATATGTTGGCATACTTTTCTTGAAAGCTTACTTGCTGACGTGTGGCACCGCATTTGCCTCTCCTGCGTTGCCCCTGTAATAACCTGCCTGTGTGGAGGTTGGTGTACACCAAGTTCTGCTCCTAGATCTGGCTGTTGACTTCCTGTCTCTCCACGGGAAAGTCACACAGCTGCTCTGTGCCTTAGCTTCATGTCCTGGACATAATGAGGCACTTCAGAGAGAAGGTGCTCATGAGGAGCCTGGGCTGCTGTTAATGCAATTGTAAATACTCTTCCTGCTTATACACGTAGTAATTCCATATGTGTACCCAACTCTTAAATTTTGCACAAATGATTTCACAGAAAATGTTAATTCTTTCTACTTTTCCTATGCCATATAAAACTAGAAAAATAAAGTATACATGTAGGTGTTTTCAGATTTAAAACTGTTTAGCAATACACAGAACATGATACTATAATTGCAACAAGTATCTCTCCAAAACTCTGTTTTAGAGACACTGCTTTGGAGGGAAACTGTAGTTCTCTCCCGAGAACTGGAAATCAGTAGCTGGGAAAACTGGTTTTGCAGTGGCATCTTTAGGAACTTTCAAGTTAGGTAGGCTTTGATTCACTCATCATCTGAAACATCTAGGTAGCTGATAAGAAAATGAGAAGCCTGAAAACCATTAACCCTTAAGAATGAGAATGCTTTGAAAAGGATATATGCCTCATATTTACTGTATTAAAATAATCTGCTTGATTGGGGATTGGAAGAGCCTTCCTATAGCAGATTATTCTATGGTGATCTCCTCTGCAGGCTTTTTTTCTCAATTTTCTGAGGCTTTTAACCACCACTGTTCTAAAGAGCATTCAGATTTGACTATGAGTTTTTAGCAAGTTCTTATATTTTATAACATACCACTTTCTCTTTTTCCCCCCTCTCTTCTCTCTTTTTCCAACCCTGTTTTAGTTTTGCTGAAGTTCCCTCCTAAGTTTTTTGCCATTACTTCTTCATTCCAAAAATTAATTTTGCAGTTTAAAAGCCAATTGAGACTTTTATACAATCTAGTGTGACATATTCTGTATAATTTTGTGGTTTACAGACTTCAGTGCCATGGTCAATAGTGGTGCTTACCTTCTGCATTTTTCTTTCCGACTGTGCTATTTGTCTCTGTTTCATTATTATTGCATTTGTATATTTTTTAAGAAAGAATGGAGAAAAATTATTTCTAATATCTCTCTTCATTTTCTCTTTTCACATTTTTACTCTTTATGTTTTCCTTATTCGCAAAGTAATTTCTTCTTTTCTTTTCTTACTTTTCCTTTTTTTTCTTCTTCTTTTTTTTTTAAGGGCTTTCTGAAAGCCAGCTTTGAAACTCCTTTTACTTTGCAACAATTTATCAGTCCCCTACTGTGCAAATTAGCACTTCTGGAGGCAAGAACGGGAGATACCTATTCATGTTGCAGGGAAGCAAAGTAGTGACATTATAATACTGAAGGAGACATAAATTTCATGAGTTAACACACTGCTAGATATCTATATAAAATTTTAGTTAGTGCAGGGTGACCTATCACCTCTTCATTTCCCTAGATTTGAAGAATAAAAGACTAATATAATGTGAAAGAGAACAAAAGGGTAAATTCAGACAGTTTAATAAAGTTCAATGAAGTGATACAGTCTCATTTTTCCATTTCATTTCAGAAAAATCAACATCCTACATTAAGCCACATTTTCCCTTGAGCTCCCTTATAATCTTACATCCTTCAGTTCTGTTTATGCTGAGGAATCAGTAGCTCAGGAACCAAAACTACACAGTGCTATTCTTTGAATCTCTTTGGTTTTGTGTTGGTTTTGTTTTGCTTGTTTTCAATCTGGACATTGTAATCAATTCTGCTGTCAATGTACTGAGAACACACCATGTAGGTGCAAATTTGAGTTGAAAGTATGCCAGGTGAAGACAATGGGTTGCACCATTATAAAATATGGATCCACAACTGAAGGGTTGTGACAGGCACCTGAGAATTTCAAAAACTTTAATAGCAAATTATGAAATAAATTATAGGGGAAGAATGATGCTCAAGCAAACAAAGCTGATGAACACTGTAGATGTTAATGTGCTGATGGGTCTAAGTCACACAAAAGATGAGGCATTTCTGAAGCTCAGTGATTTACTTGAGTTCCAGAATTTTTTCAATATCCCAAATCTCTGTGCAGTAATCACTCTTAAATACTCTGCACATCACCAAAATTTCTTGGAAAAGTAAAGGCCAAAAGAAGCTATTATTTTTCAAAAGCATAAATATGATGACATCAGTCAGTCTTGCTGTCTCTGGAGCTCCATTTGCTCTACCTTACTTTACTCTACTTTATTTTATTGGTCATGGTAACCCTTCAGCTTTTCCCCAAAGATGTGAACACCATGCCTAAATGCCTTGCAGCCCTCATGCCCTGCACAAGCATACCTTCAAATGGACTATTTGCAGTAAGTATACTCTGCAGCATTTCATCTTTGAATGTTTTCCAGGTCTCCTCAGTGCTGGTAAACATTGCTATATAAAGTCAGACATGTTAAATGATTTTTCTTTTGAACTGAATCTCTGTTATTCAGTCCATGTGCAGCCAGTTTTCTTCATGAGCTGCTGATGGGTATTTCAAATACTTGCTCTTCCATCCTTGAGCAAGTTTCTTCACAGTGTGTTTTCCTCATGTAAAGTTTACTGTCCCTCAGTGGTTTTTATGAAGTCCCAGCATTAAGAACTAAATTTTCTAGTTTTAGAGGAATGCCATTTCTTCAATTTTCTTCAAACTTGGCATGACTACTTCGGTCATCACATCCTTAGAATGGTCTCCTCTTCTATAGTCCTATCAGGACTTAGCTGGCTCCCATTTTCTATGGAATTTAGGAGTACAGTAAGTTCATGCTTCAACCAGAATTGAAGTCAAACATAGGCAGAGTAGGTGTCCTGCATTGCCACAGGCAATCTTGTATATATTTTTATGATTAATTTTCAATTATTGTCTTTCATTTCCAAATCCTATTTCATTAAGAAACATTAGCCTTTTCCTTGTGGTTTGTCTTGCTACTGACAGAACATCTATTTTTATCTGTAAATCTGAGAGGAACTTGTGAAGCCCCATCAGAGCTCAGTTTTGGCCAGCTGTCATAGTTTCTCCTTTGAGGGCATAAATACACATCTATCCGCTTGAGTGCTTAAATCCCAGCCAACAAGAACTATGTTTTTAGGGTTTATGGTTCTATGTTAAACTAATACTGACCCCAGATTTGCTTTGGATTTTGTTTTGGGTTTATTTTTTTGTTGTTTGTTTTGTTTGATTCAGTGGGGAGTAGCTCTTGAGGATTTCTAAGTTCTGTAGCACAGAAAACATCTGTTTCTTCTGTTGGCAGGCTCTTACATAGTTCCTGTTTCTGTATGAATAGCTCCAGGCTTTTCTGATTTGGATGTCAGCCATCTCTTCTTGAGCACTCAGAGAGCTGACTTTTAAGGATACATCTGTATTAATAAAATTATGAAGGGCATTTTGTGGTCCTGAGGACTAGTAGTATGAAAAGGCTAGTATCCATATGGCTTAGCTTTTCCCATGCTCTGCTCACAAAATGGTGGTGGTGGCATAGAGCTGGTCAGAACTAATTCCTGGTCTGTGCAGCTCTTGATTGCTGCCACAGCACTGCTTAGTTTCATATGGGAAAACCATGAGAGTGCACTAACAGTTAGATAGGATGGGCCCCATCAGACCAGTGGCCAAGTATGTGCCAAGGTGCTGTTTACTTTTCTGTCTTGCTCTGTTCAAAGCACTTAGTGAACCTAGAGGGCCTGCATATTTGAGATGAGCAGGAGGAGGCTGAGCCAAAAAATACAGTGCAAGATGCACATCTGTAGTGAGAGTGACATGTGTGAGGCTCAGATGGACACCTGAGAAAACAGCGGGGTTGTGTTCTTGGGAGTGGTGAATACTACACAGAAGTTGACACTGATTTCACAAGATAATGGTGCTTTTTTCCACAATGATAGTTTTCATTACTCCATTATGTGTTTAAATCTCAAAAATCCTCAAAGAAAGGGATGTGTCTATCTTCAAGAACTTACTACATTTTTCTAGATGAAATGCCTTCATTGAGATATTGATATCCTGGTTGTCTTGCAAGACATTCTCAATTTTTTACATGGAGAGTTTCTTATTCTTTGGGTTTTTTCCTTCTGTCAAATTAAACTGTGATGTATGGCTTAGACAAAAGATAAATGTTTTCAAAATAAGAACTTCTTGCTTATGCAAAGATTGTGCAAAATGTAGTCAGCAATAATTACTCAATTTTCTTCACAGCTCTCTTGCTGGCAGATCACATGGCATCTTCATTATTCTGTGTGCAAAGCAAGCAGTGCACAAGGTCCTTTGTAGTATAGGGAATTCACTGGGGAGAATGCAAATGAACACTGAAAACATGCCATATCAAATCTGTGCCTGGTGTTAATTCACCAAACTTCACTAAAGCTAAAGGAGAAAGGTTCATGCTGTGGTCAGGATCTGGTTACTTTCTTTTTGTGATTACCTTTTCAAGTATATGCTGTATCCTATATTTTTGTTCACAAAATGTCATTAACAAATAGATAGTTATCTAATCAGGGTATTATATTATATCCAGGGCTGTGCTGGAATTTCCTGCCTAACAATACAGCACAGTAAAAATCTCTTAGCTATGTGTTTTAAGAAAAAATAATGGAAATTTTGAATAGTATGTCACAGTTTGAGCTCTAGGGCCAGATATTCCAAGACGTAATTTAGTAAATGATTAAGAAATTGTTCTTCT